GAGAGAGAGAGAGAGAGAGAGAGAGAGAGAGAGAGAGAGAGAGATTCATGCCTGAGGGCTAGGCAGGTAGATACATGTCACATGGTCACAGTGGTGTGGAGCTGACCAGCCAGGTGGGTCACCAACTCATGCCAGGAATGCCTGCAGTGAATGAGGTGTGCACACACACCTGCAGCATCCCACTCTCCAGGGCTTGTGAGATTCTGATGCACCTACCTGCCCTAGCTGCAGGTGGGCAGCAGCGAAGGTATAGTCTTCAGGGCTGGACTCCAGGCTGATAGTGAGTACTGCATCATAGGCCTCCTGCAGGGGGCCACGGTCATCGAGAGCCAGGTAGGAATAGTTGCGGTACGGCAGGGCGAAGAGCAATGTGTCATAGGGCAAGAAGACCAGCCTCCCATCTGCCAGGCCCTCCTCCTGAGCACGGTGCAGCAGGGTGGTCTGCTCCAGGCCCCCCAGCAGCGCCGAGTGCATGCACAGCACCACAACTGAGGGTTGACACAGCCAGGGTCACCTTCACACTGTAGCCCACTTGCACAAAGCCTGCATCCTGTGGCTCCCAGACCTCTCAGAATCTGTGGTCATACTTCTAGTGCCAGCCCCAAAGGATCCTGGGTAAAGGTAAAATTTGCCCTAAATCTGTCCCCTACATCAATTATGCCTGATGCCACCAAATCTGGGTGGAAAAAAAAAAAAAAAAAAAAAAACCCTTGCACCAAGGATACACTTGTATTTAAGAGGCCCTCCTGCCCTTCCTGTCCCAGAATGTCAGCTGTACCAGCTTCTCACCTACTTCTACCCTGGGGCCTGACAATTGCTGGTATTTATCCACAGCTCTCTCTGGCTGTTCTCAAAAGCTCCCACATTTAATCATTCACTATTGCAATAGCAGCGGGTGGTGGCATGCATACAGGTGGCATATACCCGTAACCCCAGCACTCAGGATGCTGAGGCAGGAAGATTGTGAGTTTGAGGCCAACTTGAGCTACAGAGTAAAACCTTATCTCAAAAAAAAAAAATTAACAGTAGCATGGAGATACGTGTTTGTTATTATTCCTATTTTCAAACTAGGAAACTGGGGCACAGAAAGGTTAGAAAGTAACCCCAGAGCACATAAGCACCACAGTGGTAGAGCCAGAACTTGAACCCAGGGTTCATGACTAGCTTGTAATACTTATAAAATAATTTTTCAAAGTTTTTTTGAGATATAGCCTAATCATATAGCCCACACTGGCCTGGAGCTTGCTAGGTAGCCCAGGCTGACCTTGAACCAGTGATCCTCCTGCTTCACTCTAACCAAGCGCTAGGAGTATAGGTATGTGCCATCACACCTCACTTAAATTTTTTTAAAAATTAAGATGATAAAAATATACCTTTAAATGTGTACAATTTGGTGGTTTGGATATATTAACAAGGTTGTATAGTCATCACAATTACTTAATTTGAGGAGTGTTCATCACCCCAACTTGGAGTCACCCCTGCCCTCTCTCCTAGTCTACTGTCCATCTCTAGTGTCAGTCCTTCATTCCTTTTATGACTACAATATTCCACCACCTGATTGACTGCACTTTGCTTCTTCATTCATCATCAGCCTATAACCTTAGCTGTGGCCCTGGGTGGCATCCTAAAGGTCTAAGCAGATGCAGACATAACCATCCTTATCTTAGTAACAGAAACAGCTTGTTATGGTTTGGATATGAAGTGTCCCCCCAAAGGATCCTGTGTTGAAGTCTTGGCCCCCAGGTGATGGATCCAATCACTGGGAGAAGATTGGATCATGAGGTCTCTGCCTTCATCAATAAACTTTGATGGATTTGTAATTTGGAAATGATGGGAGGTGGAGTCTAGCTGGAGGAAGTAAGTCATTGGAGGCCTGCCTTTGATGGATATTTTACATTTCTGAACCCCCCTCTTTCCCTCTGTCTCTTTCTCCCGCCCCATCCCCTTCTCCCTCTCTCTCTCCCCACCTCTCTCTGATTCCTGGCTGCCCTGAGGTGAGCATCCTCTGCCACTGAGATACTCTGTTTCTCCTCGAGCCCAAAGCAATGGATCTCACTGACCTTGAACTAAAACCGTGAGTCAAAATAAACCTTTCTTCCTTTCAAGTTGATTTTTTTCAACCATTTTGTCACATTAAGGAAACATCTAACACATGGTCCCTGGAAAAAAAAAAAAAAAAAAAAAAAAAAAAAAAAAAGTGGCCAATTGCCTCCCAGGCACAGGACGTAGGGGACTTCTATTCAGAATGAGGGTCCACACGGACCTCCTTTGCACCATCTGGAGTCCCTGACCAGGACTACAGCCATGGCAGAAAAGGCCATCATTGACTAAGATGAGGCCAGGTTCCTACTGCCATCCCTTTTTCTAGAAAACCCAGGAAAATGGGGCCAGTATGGAAGGCTAGGGGTCTCCTAGCTGGCCCGAGGCCCCTCATCACATAGAGATTGGAACCTGGAGCCCTTGCCTTGGGTAAGATTCTGAGTAGCCACACTGTCTGGGCTAGTTGCCAAGAGCCACCCCTTCTGAAGCCTAAACAGCAGGAAGAGCTGTTGAAGAGAGACCAACTCAGAAGCCAGAGAGCCAGCGCCATGTCCCATCTGCTCTGTCTTTGTTCTATTTGGGCATCTCCCCCAAATACCCCTTTCTCCTAGGGGGTGTTGGAAGCACTATTCTGCATTTGGCTACAAGGTGGAGGTGAACAACAAGGACAGGACACCTTTCTTGACCTGCCAAGGTAAATGAGGAGTTTGATCAGCTTCACGCCACTGATGAAAGAACTGTAGCACAGGCAGCTTTAGTGACTTGCCTGAGGCCACACAGCTGGTTAAGACTAGCATTGGAATTTCCAATGTCGCTCACCATTCTGCCTCTTGCTTTTGAATATCAGCATCATGGCTGGAACTCGGTTCTTGGCAACGGGCTGAAGAGGAGTCTGACAATTCCCTCACCTGCTGCCATCTTGCTCCTTATCTTCCTAGGTAGTGAGACATAGTACTTGTGTTCTTTAGCACTTACTGGTCCTCTGCCTGGAATGTTCCTCTCTCCCGTCTCCATTCCATGGTTGGCTTCTCACTGTTGAGCTCCACCCTAATGTCACCTCCTCTGAGAAGCCCTCCCCACCCCCAGGCAGGTCTGCTCCTCTGCATCTGTCCTTTCACCAGTCTCAGACTTCTCACAGCTGGGCCTAGTCTGTTCCCATCATGTTTGCAGAGCCCAGCTGGGTTGGGGACTATTTCACTTTGACGTACCCACAAAACCGAGAACACAGAAGTTGAGTCCAGTAGCCCAAGCAGGCAGGAATGGGATTTCTGGTTCCACTCATAAACATTCACCATGCCAGGTAGAAGCTGTACTCTTTAGCTAGGATCCAAGAACCTGGACTTGAGATTAGTGAGAGTGAAGACCTAGCTTGGTTGTTGAATGATTTGTATCAGCTGCCAGAATCAGCTTCATGGAAGGCGCACAGGGACAAGGGTCAGGACCCTGAGCACATGGACTGAGGGTCTAACTACTGAAGAGGAGAAAGAAATGACTCCACAGTCCTACAGTCTAGTCCCACCTGAATATTACAAATACGTCCATAGAATTAAGATGGGTGATTTTTGTCCAAGCAACACCTAACCTCAGATACACAAGTCCTAACACAAGAACATAAAAAGCCAAAGCAACACAACTCCTCCAAAAATCGCTAATTCCACAGTAATGAAAATGAATTAAATTCCAGATGAAGAATTCAGAAGAGTGATTATAAAGATGCTCAGCAAGGGGCTGGAGAGATGGCTCAGAGGTTAAGAGCACTGGCTGCTCTTGCAGAAGACCCAGGTTTCGAATCCCAGTACCAACAATGGCAGCTAACAACCATTAGTAACTCCAGTTCAGGGGATCCGATGCCTTCTTCTGTTCTCCACAGGCACTGCACCACACAGGTGCACTTATATACATGTAGACATAACACTTATACACATAAAATAAAAATAAGTAATAAAAAGATGCTCAACAAAATAAAAAAGCCTAAAAATAATTTTTAAAAAACTCTTGGATGAATTCAAAAAGAACACAAACAGCTAACTTAAATAAGAAGTCAACATAGGATACACAAGGAGAATTCAGTAAAGAGATTAAAATAGTGGAAAAAGGAACCAGGGAGATGATTCAATGGGTAAAGAAAGATGCTTGCCACACAACCATGCAAGCTTAACAGCTTGAATTCATACAGAGGTGGGAGAAGAGAACTAATTCCACAAAGTTGCCGTCTGACTGACTTCCACATGTTTTCTGTGCTATGTGTGCCCAGACACACACACACACACACACACACACACACACACACACACACACACAGGTAATGATGATGGTGATGATGGTAGTGGTGGTGATGAAAAATACTGGAAAAAGTACAACTGAAACATTGGAAATGCAAAGTTCAGTAAGTCAAACTCAGTGGAAAGCCTCACCAACAGATCAAGTGAAAGATAGAATACCGGGTCTAGAAGACTAAGTAAATGGATTAGAGCATCCAGACAGTAACACAGATAATAAGAAAGAAAAACAGAGCATGTAATAGCAAAGGGATACTATTAAAAGACTAAATATATGAGACATGGCCACAGAAGGAGAATTTAAGCTAAAGGCATAAAAAAATACTTTCAATAAAACCATAGCAGAAAACTTCCCAAATCTAGTGAAATAGATGGCCGTTCAGATACAAGAGGCACTTAGAATGACAAACAAGACATCCACATATCATATTATAGTTAAAAATAATGAATATGTGGGATAAATAATGTATATAGAAAGTTGCAAGAGAGAAACGCCAAGTCACTTATAAAGATAGGTCCATCAGAATAACAGCAGATTCATCAAGAGAAACCCTAAAAGCTAAAAGGACATGGAACAATGTATTTCAGCCTCTGAAAGATAATTAACTGCCAATTCAGATTACTACACCCAGCACAAGCTATCCTTCATAATTGAAGGTGAAAGTAAAACTTACCATGATAAAGACTAAATAAGGGCATTCATGACTATTACACCAGCACTACAAAAGATACTCAAAGGAATACTATACACAAAAGAGAAAGATAAGCACATGTGTGAGGATACTAGAAAGAATAAAGAACATTAGAAAAATAAATGAGCAAATTAGAATTAGGAAAGTATCAAACATTACAAAAACAACATGACAGGAATGAATGCATACCTTTCAATAACAATGCTGAATGTTAAGTCTCAATCAATCAAAAAAACATAGATTAGCAGATTAGATTAAAAAACAGGACCCATCTATTTGTTGTCAGCAAAAAAACACACCTTGCTGGCAAAGACAGCCTTCTGGTAAAAAGATAGAAAAGGGTATTTCCAGTTAGTGAAACTAGAAAGCATGCAAGTGTATGTCGCCTGAAAATTACTTATTCCTCTCAAAAGTGTAAGCCAGCCAGGGGGCAAGATGAGGAGCACCCTGGGAAGAGGAGTGGATCTGCTGGGGAGATGGAGAGTTAGCTGCGGAGAGGTAGCTGTGGAGAGTTAGCCCGGCAGAGAGTTTGGAAGGGAGAAAGGGTGCGTGGGGCTGCAGGGGCGAGCTGCAGCGTCCACTGGGGTTATGGACATGCGATGGGACACATAAGACCATGGGCACAGGCATGAAGGTGACCAGGAACACTGGGCCGCCTCGTGGTGTGGCTCGGGACTTGGGGGCTATGAAAAGCTGTTTCGTGTAAGTCACACCCCCACCCCCAAATGTCATATAAAAACGGTACAAAAATGTCTTATGTTAGTCTGTGAGCCCTGCACGTGGAGCCTCCAAAGAGGGGAAAGGGGGAAAAAATTTGGTGAAACACTGTAGCAATTCTAATATCTGACAAAATAGATGTCAAAGTTTAAAAAGTCAGGCGATAAGGTCACTATGCTTAATTTTAAAAACATTCTATCAGGAGGATACTTCAATTCTGAACATATATGCTATACACCAAACTGGCACACCCAATTTATAAAACAAACAGTAACGAATGTGAAGGCTCAGATTAATCTTAACATAGTGACAGTGGGTGACTTCAATACCCCACTCTCATCAATAGGTAGACTAGTCAGACAAAAAAATCAACAAGGAAACAGATCAAATGGACCAAAAAGACATGGAATATTCCACTCAAACACTGCAGAAAGCACATCTTTCTCAGAAACCCACCGAATGAGCTCTAAAATAGGCCATGTTTTAGCACACATAGCAAGTCTTGACAAATAAGAGAATAAAGTAATCTGTTCTACTCTATTTGATCATAATGGACTAAAACTAGAAAATCAACAGCAAGAGAACCTACAGAAAATACACAAACTCATGGAGACTGAACAACACACTGTTGAATAACAAGTGGATCATCAAAGAAATCAGGAGGAAAATTTTAATTCCTAGAATGAAATGAAAACAGAAACACACCACACCAGAGCCTATGGGAAACAGCGAAAGGTTCTAAGAAGCACATCTATATACAGACATCATTTACATATCTATTCTATTCTGTTTTACTTCACTCCCAATTCTATTTTTCTCCTGTTCTATTCCCTCTTCCTTCTTATTTTTTATAATGCTAATCATGATTCACTAAGCTGACTTTCTGGCCTGCATGAGCTACCCACGGTTTGAAAACACTCTAGCACAGATGAGCCTAAGAGCCCTCTGCTCTCGCTTACCAACCCACCACCTGTCTCTCACCACCTGTCTGACTGCTCCTTAAGGACCAGCCAATGTTATGTCCTCCAAGGACCCTTCTCAGATTTCTGGGGTACAGCCCTAGGCTCCTCTGACTCCACATGCCTCTGCTCCTTGGGTCACCATGATCCCTTTGTCTCATCCTCTTTCCACACATCTGTCTCCTCATCACACAATTGGCCTTTGGAGATTAGCAACCATATCTGTCCCATTCACTACTGTGATCCAGCACCCAGCATTACAGAGACGCAGTAAATGTAGGAAATGACCCACTAATCAATAACCCATGGAGATTATGACTAACCATAAATCCAAGACTGGCTCTGACTCTTCCCTATCTCACATAATTGTACTTACCATACTCATGAATCTTTCATTTCACAGGCAACTACCAGCTCTGCCATCAACATTTGAATCAGAGCTGAGAATCCTGCTGCCCTGCCTGGCTGCTATGTGGTGGGGGCAAGTTCCTTGCCTTCTCTGGGCTTTCAAAGACAGACTTCAGCAGGGGTAGCTCCCGGGGCTGTTGTTGGGGCACCTGGCAAGTGCTCACCTCCGTTAGATGCAGACAGTGCCCCCACATCAGTGGTGATGTAAAGTTTAGGTTGTCCACAGCAGGGAGAGACCCAGATATACTTACTTTTCAGGCTGTCCACACTTTGGAGCTGCTTGAACACCTCTGTGGCCCCTTGCTCTCCAGGTCCAAGAGAGGTCACAAGCCCCACGGGCAGCCCATGGGCCCTGAAAGCTGTGGCCAGCTGCCGGGCTGTGGCCACCCAGATGTCCTGGTGGGAAGACACGATAGCCAAGTGTGCCCAGCCAAAGTGCCTCATGACAGACAACAGCACATGCACAGCAGAAGGCAAGGTGGGTGTCAGCTTACCGCCTCCCTCTGGAACCCCACAGGCCCAGGAGAAGAGGGACTTGCCCCAGCCTTGGGCCAGCAAAGCTGCTGCTGTGCAGTACCCAGGATTGACAGGGCCCACAAAAGCAGCCACAGTGTTCCTGTGGGCCAGAAATGTGGCCAGGGCATGAGGGGTGTCACAACCTGTGGGGAGGACCTCGAAAGCCAGCTGTGAGCCCAGCAACAGAGATGCATCTTGGTTGACTTGGTCCACAGCCAGCTGGGCAGCCATGCTAGGGAGGGCCTGGGCAAAGATGGGGTCACAATCCCAGGGACCCAGTACCCCAAAGGTGAAGTTCTCTGCTGCCCACACCAAAAGGGAAAGGGAATCAGCCAATAGGAGGGCACCCCAAAACACCACAGAGAGGACTGTCAGGGCAGAGGCTGTCCTTGGATGGCTGACAGTGAGCCCCCATGAGCCGTGGCAGGTCAGGCAGGTCTTCATGTGTGGTGCTGTCCAATCTGAGTCTTCAAGGTGTGGGCTCCCAAGCAGTCCTGGAGAAGGGTTCCAGATAAGGCTTGATTTCTAGCTTTTCTGCCATTTCTCACATTGATAACATGAGATACTTGGATCCACAATCTTCAAGGACTTTGCCCCCCAGCTTTAAGGGCCCCCTCCCTCCCCAGGACTGGCTCAGAGGCTATGATACACAAGTGAAGCTAGAATTGGAGCTAGAATTGGTGGCCTACAGAGACAGAGCATCCAGAACCCCGCCCTGCCTCCATTCATGGGTTCTGGATCAATCTTTGAGACTTTCTGAGTCTTCTTTTCCAACCCTAGAAATGTGGGAAATGAAGCCACTCAGTGGACTTACTGTGGTGACAGGATGGCATTATGGACAGCATTTTCATAGTCTCAGCACTCAGAGACTCAATAAGCCCCACCTTGTTCACCCTCTGATTACTGCTTTTTCTGTCACTTGTCCCTAAGGAGGACCAAGCTCTTATGGTCTTTTGGTCTTTCTCCTGCTCTTTCCTCTAAGCCCAGCACCACCCACAGCCCCTCACTGCTGACTCCAAGGCATGGGAAGTGTAAGCACATGCCCGGTGCTTTAGTTCACTCCTCAATGCGCCCAAGGGAACTGGGGCTAAAGTGTTCACATTGAGTGTGTGCCTCCCATCTCTGATGTCCCTCAGACTTGTCTGGACCAAAAGGCCTCTCTGTCCCCACAGCACAGAGATAGGAACTAAGGGAACCCGACATGGGGTTAGAAAGATGGGCCATGACTCAAGTCCATTCAGCTTGTCCCCTACCTCACACATGACTTTCTTGACCAGAGTGCTTGGACCAAGACACTGCCCACTTAATCCTACTGGCAGAGGCCCTTGCTGCCTCTCTAAGTTCCTGTTAGCCTCTCTCTGCCTGCAACATGTTATGACCCCTTCTCCACCCACAGGGCTTGGTTAACTTTCTCCTCACACTATTTATGCAGCCTTTCCTCTAATCCTCAAGGGACCCTAGGAAGGAATAAGTTCCAATCTGGCCCTCAGGACACTGCCTAGTGAGCAGGTAGACAGGTCTCAGCCAAGAGAAAAGCTAACCATGAGTTTGGGCCATTGATAGGAGGATGTGAGTGGGGAGGTGCTGTGGCTGAGGAGGGGAGTGAGGGCTTCCTGGAGGAGGCAGAGCTCACCCCAACCCTGCACTTGGAGGTGTAGCTCAGGATGGTGGGTGGATGTCTCTGAATGCCACAGGGATGATCTGGGCAGGACAGCTCCTTAGAAATCATGTTTGATGCTGAGGGAGAGAAGAGATTTGGAACCATATAGAAGGATAAGCTCTGACTTTCTCACTCACTAGCTCTTAACTTTGGGCTAGATGTTGAGGTTCTTTGAGCCTCATTCTTTCCCACCTGCAAAATGGACATGCAAATAGAGAGTGGAAACGAGGCTGTACAGTGTCTATAGTGGGGATGGGTCATTGTCGTCATTGTCCTCCTCCTCTTCTTCCGCCTCCTCCCCCTTTTCTTTCTCCTCCTTGTCACCATCTTCAGATCTTTGAGGGGAGGCAGGAGGTGCAAAGAGAGCTGGGCAGGAAGTAGGAGGCTGAGTCTCAGCTACACACTAGGCCTCAGCTTCTCCCTCTGTGGAGTCTCCCATGTACAGAGCCATCCCTTTACCTTGATGCCCATTGTCTTCCCTACTTTGCTTCCCCAGCTCAGGGCTGGGGGCTAAGTTATTTTCTATGGACTTCTGTGGACCCAGCTTCTCTTCTGTAATGCTCAGAGTTATCCACCCACCCTCAAGGCAAATCCCTCAGGGCTGGAGGATGGGCTCTAGCCTCACAGTGTCCCTGCCAGTGAGCTAAAGCTGGGAACTGAAGTACTGCCGCTAGTCAGAGTGGCAGGCACCTCCCTCACAACCTGTTTCCCAAAGTACCTTGACTACAGCTTTGCCTCTCAGAGACTCTCAAAAGATACCTTTTGCCCTCATTTTCAGAGAAGGAAACTGACTCTGGGTGGGTTGTGACTTGTCCAAGGCCTCACAAAAAATAGAATCAGAATTAGAGCTTGGCTTCCAATTTCCCAGCTAAAGACAAAAATCTCTCTTTGCAAAAGATGTGGAACATCAGAGCCTTGTTAATGTAAATGCTTACACCAATGCCTCCGTGTCCAGATGGGGGCATCGAGGCACAGAAAAGAGGGTGCACTTCCTTTGGTCCTGCACCCCAGCAGTAGGCTCTCCTGATCTCAGGTCCTGCTGGCCAGACTCGGTGCCTCAAGAATTCTGCAGCGGTGGCCTGCAGGGGCTCTCAGAGAGCTAAAGATCCTAGGAGACCAGCTTCAAGACAAGCAGGGGCCTGTTTTCACCCCAGCTCTGGTCCTGATTTATGGCACAGGATCCACACTCTTTCCTGTGCCTCAATTTTCACAACTGTACAAGGAGAGCCCAGTTTGCATTTTTAAGTCTTCAAAGATCCCTCAGCTCTGATATTCCATATGTCAATAAAACATCCAGGAACAGGTGCTCTCTGTCTCTGAGGTTAGACATATTTGCCTATGAATCTTTTCCCAAGGGTGCAAGTGCCCGTGACCTCCTGCACTAACCTAAGGTTAATGAACCACCAGGAAGAGGGGAATTTGCATTTTCAGTTGGAGCTTGCCTGAGGATTAGCCACAAGTTGATCAGTTTATGAGGCCAAACACACAGAATAAGGGAGTTAGTTCCCAGCAGAGTCCCAGAGCCTAGAGATGAAGAAACTTTCAATGGTATGATGAGACCAAACCAGAGAGTGATAGGAACCCACAGGTTGAGGATGGAGAGTGCCTGTTAGTCAGAGTCCCCACAGCCAAGGGTCATCCTCCATCCCCAGCCTGATCTTTTTTTCCCTTCCAGGCATGTTCCCTGCAGACTCACCTGCCATGCTGAACTCTTGGAGCTGATTCTGCCTCTTTGCCAGTCCTGAGGTTCTCGCACCAGGGTCCTTGGAGGTCAAGCTCTCTGAATACGCTCTGGCCTGGGGCCTTTCATTTCCAGTGCAGCTACATAGCCACTGCCCCTGCTGCCTGCCAGCTTCCTGAGACTGCTGCCTGGGGAGTGCCTCGGATTTGGCTCATTCCCTCCCTGTCCCCCTCAGGAACCTGGGGAAGCCACTTGGAAAATTAGATCTGTTCAGACCCCAGGGCTCTTGGGAGCCACCTCAGAAGGAGGGGAGAGTGAAGGAGAGGAAGGCAAGAAGGCAAGAGACTGTTTTCAGCACTGAGGACAGCTCCAGCTGCTTTGGGACTCCCAGGAGGCAGGAAGACTGGACAAGCCTCACAGAAGTCAGCAATAATGAGCATCCATCAAGTGCCACATCCTGGCCTGGCACAATTCATTCAACCCACAGAGACATAGGCCATTATTATTTGTACTTTTGAGATAAAGAAAGCATGGCCCAGAGAGGGTAGATAATTTGACTGAGAGCACAGAGCCAATAAATGGCATAGCTGATTGACTCCAGGTTTAAGCTTTGCTTAGCACACTGTAATAGTCATAAACAGGAAAGGCTTTCTTACCCTCCTTTTTGTGTGGCCGAGACCTCAGTCCAGTGGACTTACCATCCTCCCTCCTCTACCTGCTACCTCCTACCCAGGGACAACCAGCCTTTCTTGAGGGCCCTGTCTCTGCTAAAGGCTGGAATCCCCTGTACACAAGTAGTGATGTTCTTGTTTTCTTCTGTCAGTTTATTCATTCAATGAAACTTACTAAATTCTTACTTGCTAGTTCTGCCATGGGGTAAGCCTCAGCTGCACCCCTAATTCCTGCCATCTCCCCCCAAACCCTTCCACCTCCTAGGCACTGTTCTAGATACTTGAGTCCCATTGATTTGAACAAGAATTTTTGCCCCTCTCAGATCTTACTTTCTAGTAAGGGTAGGGAAGATCATTAGAGTCGACACACAATAAAGCAGATGTTATTTTAATGTTTCAAAGTGACAGGTGTTATAAAAATGAGGGAACAGCAACAGTACCAGATGTATAATTCAGTATAAGGGTTTATAGATTGCTACACAGACTCTATCATTATGATTTCAATAGCCAAGAAAGAGTAGATATGTCCTAAGTTAATTTTGGTTATGTGTTTTTTTATGTAGTCCCTCCCACTGTGCCCAGAGGATTTTATGGCTCCTGTTGATGTGCCACACATTGTGTCTGTTGGCTCTCAGATCCATCCCATGATCCCCACGGGCTGGCTGACCTCAGGGGAAGGGAGTTGGGGAGGAAGGCAGGCACTCTGCACTACAGGGACTGAACCAGAAACTCCTCTACCCAGCATCTTTTGCCATGGGCTTTGGGTTGAGTCAGCTAATAGGAGACATTCACAGGCATCATGAGGACAGGAGAAAGAGAGAAGTCTCCTTCTTCTTTTCTCTCTGCTTTAGATGCTATCCTAGCAATGGCTGTCTTTTCTATGGTCCTGGCCTTTATGCACATCCTACCCTTTGTGACCCTAAATTTGGGGCTCAGAGACCATCATCCCCTATCTTGCTCTGTCCCTCTACTGTAAGCTATGGAGGCCTGCTGTTGCTGGCCATCTCTGGACTGTTTCATACCCCAGCTCCCTTGGGATCCCTCCCTTTGTTACTTTTCTTATTGTTGCAACAAAATACCTGACAAAAGTAATTTAAGAAATGAAAGGCATAATTTGACTCACAGTTTGAGGGTACCTCCTCTTAAGGCTCAGGTGTTTGAATACTTAGTCCCTAGTTGGTGGCACTGTTTGGGGATGTTGTGGAACCTTTAGGAGGTAGAGTCTTGCTGGAGGAAGTGTGTCACTGGGGGTGGGCTCTGAGAGTTTATAGCCTTGCCCACTTCCGTTTGCTCTCTCTGCTCTGTGTCTGCAGTTGAAGATGTGATCTCTCCGCTTCCTACTCATGCTGCCATGCCTGCCACTTGCTGCCATGCCTCCCTGCCATGATGGACTCTTATCCCTCTGGAACCTAAGCCAAATAAACTCTTCCTTCTCTAAGTTGTCCTGGTCAGTTTTTTGTTTGTTTGTTTGTTTGTTTTTTTTGTCTTTTTGAGACAGGGTCTCCCTGTAGTCCCAGCTGACCTGAACTCACTATGTAGACCAGGCTGGTCTTGAACTCACAGAGATCCGCCTGCCTCTGCCTCCCAAGTGTTGGAACTACAGCCACCACGCCCAGCCTCCTGGTCAGTTTTATCACAGCAATGGAAAAACAACTAATATAGCATCTAGTAGTCTTATTTTTTCTAACTTACTCATCATTTTAAAAAGATCATGCATTCTATTAGTTTTCTTTGCCACATAACAAATGCTACAAACTCAGTATTATCCCAAACTTATATTAGCCCACAGTTTCTATAGGTTAGAAATCTGGACATGGGTTAGCTGGGCACCTATACTTTACGTCAGATAGGCTGCAATCAAGAAGCGAGGCCTGGGTCTCATCTGGAGATTCAATAGGGAAAGATCTGCTTCCAAACTCCTCCAGGTCATAAGCTGTGGGGCCAACTTTTTTCTTCAAAGCCAGCATCAGTCTGCCATCAAGCCAGTCTCACACAGGATAATGTTAACCAATGTGACATCATTGCCTCTACTGTATTCTCTGGTTAGAAACCAGTGACAAGTCTCTGCCTCAGTCCCAGAGAACCTGAACAGCTAGAGGCAGGTATCGTGGGCATCTAAGTCTGTCCACTGTGTACACATAGTAGTGGAAGAAACAGAAAATTCAAAGAAGTTTAAAGACAAGTCATTTCATTTAGGAAATGGGATCAGGAATTGAACTAGAACCCAAGCCTCCCTGAGTACATCATCACCATCCCCTGGTTCTGCTGGGGGTCATGACAGAGCCCCCTACTTCCCTCCACCTCCTCCCACTGATTCATTGTTTCTCCCTCATGCCCCCTCACATGTTTCAAGTGGGACCTGGCCTTTATCTGAGCCCATATGCTAGGAAAGTCTCTGTGGAGTCCACTCTTATTACAGGACTGACAATGGTTAAAGACTTGAGTGTTGGGGCTGAGAGAGATGGCTCAGTGGTTAAGAGCACTGGATGTTTTTGCAGAAGACCTGAGTTTAATCCCAGCACCCACATGGTAGCTAACAACCAGGAGTCCATAACTCCAGTTCCAGGGGATCTGACGCCCTCTTCTGGCTTCCACATGCATTGTATGTTATGGGTGCACTTACATACATGCAGGCATAACATTCATACACATGAAATAAATAATTTTTAAAAAAATTAAAAAAAATTTAAAAATATCTTGAGTGTCTGCTTGTAACAAAAACCACAAGCTGACTCATTCCAACAGGATGACCTTCACTCAGACACTAGAGGCCACTAATAATCATTGGGGACAGTCATTGGGTAGAAGGGGCAGTCATATATTATCTTGGGACTGTCACACCTGCTCTAGGAGAAACAAACATATGGGCCAAATCTTCTTTCCTAAAGAATCTGAGGTCTCAGTAGACTAGACTTTAGTGGTTTGTCAATAACCAGGATTGTAGGGCAAGGCAATACTTGGTGGTAACATAATGATTTTTGCCATAGTCTTCCTAGTCCCTTTGTGGCAATAACAAAATTCCCTTGTGACAACTGGGATCCGTCAGTTGGGCTTATGTAGTAGCTCCCTTCTCTGACAATTGATCACCAGTCCTGAAGACTCCACATGGCCCTGAAAAGTCCACAGGTCAGAGTGTGGTTTCATCCTGAGTCATCAAAAGAACCTCTATGTTCTCTAGGGGAGTTATGTTCCCCAAAACACCAAGTCCAAGATCATGGACACAGGTGGCAGGTAACAACCATTTCTCTAGTACATCTGTGGGATAACCATGAAAGAGGTCCCATCTGTCTTCTTTCCTTGGTTCCTGGCCCATCACCCCATGGGAAGACATACTTGGCCACTAGTAGAGGCATCTACTATACCCCATGATGCAGGGTGCTGCCCCAACTCATCCTGTCACAGCCTCAAGAAGAATCTTTCTCTTTCCATCAGCCAAGATGCTCCTGGGTGACAGGAGGTGAAGCAAAGTCAACCAGTTCCCTGCTTCCATGCCTTAGTAGCAAAATGCTTCCTCTGGTCAGGGACATCAGACACCATGGTAGCAGGTGGGGCAGTCTATATGATTTATAATCGTGACTCAACTTCCCCAAAAGCACTGGGGGAATTTATGTGCACTTCTATTTCTTTCAGTAATTGCCTCTTCTGTGAGGCAAGACCTGGTAGAGTGAGCCTGTCTCCAGGTAGCTGGCCAATACCCTCCCTACCACAGGAACTATTGCTCAGTAGTGGTCTCTGCTGTTGGCAGATTGCACACACAGCTGTGGCAGGGCCATAGTAGAAGTCCATGTTGTCAAGCCCATATGTAGCCTACATTCTGGCTACCAAGGCCACTTCTACCCATTGATGGAGCCCTGCGGTGCAGGGAAAGTGGCTGACTTACAGCTACGTGTCATCTTGTGTACCTAAGTGCTGAGAGCTTCCTCTGCAGTAGATGCCTTCTAATAGGTACTTTATGGGGTCCACACACTCTGACTCTTCTGAGAGACCCACTGACATGCCCCTGGGGCTCCAGTTTTGTTTATACCAAGATACTGGCCTCCTAGACAGCCTATCATCAACTTCCAAGGCAATCGAAGGACAGAAGAACCTTGGACCATCTCTTCTCTGTTCATAGTAGACAGTTGGAAGCATCCTCTGAAGCTCTGCCCAGTGAGACTCCCTTCATTGTGCACTACAGGACCGGACTTGATTGACCTGGCAATGCAGTTGCCAATCATTTCTGGCTGATACCAAACCTCTTGAACATCCCTCCATGAACTGGGCCTCCTCCTCCAGCTGTTGATAAGGAACCGCTCCATAGGACCTGGGTATGAATTGAGGAATAAGTACCCCAAACACAGAAGAGGTGCCA